AACCGTATGAAGAAGAGAAATGTATTCAGTGTGGCCACACGGGCAAGAGGGACAAAGAGATCCAGTGACCCCTCAAGTCACTCTTGGGGTCCTGAAGTGAGGCTAAATCTTTAAGTAGGAGGCCATGATTTGAGCATATATGGAGTCCTGGACAGAGTGTGGTCCCACCCACCCAGGCCCAGCCTTGCTTGGCTTCACTCTCAGCCTGTAAGGTGCTCTGACAGTTGTTCGAACCGTGTGCAGTCCTTTTCCAGGAGTCAAGGCCCCCTCTCTGGCTGTAACCTTTTCCTTGCTGCAGTATGAGATTCCTGGGGAAATTGTCATTTCTTGGAGTCCATTGTTTCTGTGGCCTGAAAGTCAGATTGAGGAACACAAGTGTCTCATTTTCAGAATACCTTCTTTTCTGCCATGCTGCTTCTACAGTCTGGGGGCTCCAGGACTGACTCCCCTCAGGCCCCAGGCTGTCTACTGAGCTCTGATTATCTGCAGGGGCTGCACCCGCTTTCTTCCCGGGGCCTCTGAGCCTTTTTCTGACGGCTCAGGATATGAAAGCCCCGTGAGTCAGCCCCTCAGCCAGAGGCTTCAGCTTGCGTTTCCGCCTCTCCTCTCGGTAGCCAGGCTTCGTGGGCTCCTTCTTGTGTCTGTGTCATTTCGAGCTGTGGAGGAGGGGGAGCCACCGGCCCTGGTTCAGGCAGCCAGGACTGGGCTGGCTTTAAAGCCGACCCCTCCTCCCCTCGGTGGCCAGCCGAGATTTCTCATCTGTCACGTGGTCCCGGCACTGGCTCTTCAGGAATGCTGAGAGACCACATCTGGCAGTGACGGCGCTGCCTCCTCCCCCTTCAGTCGCCGGTCTCCCACATGTGCCTCTTCCGCTTAGGTAGTGGGGGGGGGGGCTGCTCTCAGAGCCTGGCTGGGCCACTTTGTGGAGTCATTTCCTCTCCTGCATTGATTGTCTTCAAGTCCCTGCCTCCCCTCCCGGCCTTGAAGGGCTGTCAGCAGTGGGAGGGGAAGGCTTCTCTTTTTCCTGCAGGCTTCCTGTCTCGGATGTGCCTGCCCCTCCCCCAGGAGGGGTGCGGGAGCCTGGAGGACACAGAGCTTGGCTGTGTGGGAATTTGGCTGTGGATTCCCCAGGCTGGGAAACAAAGATAAGATTGGGGGCGGGGCTTAGGCTGAAGGAAAGGGCCTGAGTGTAGACCATTTCATTCATCAACCTTCTCATTCATCCACCTCCCATTCATCTACCCTCCTACTCCTCCTCCCGCCCATCCACCCACCACCCATCCATCTCACCCACCCTCCCATCATCTCACCCACCCTCCCATCCATCTTCTCACACACCCATCTAACCCATGCGTCCATCCCATTCCATTCAATAAGGGTCAGCAAGATGGCTCAGCAGGTAGCTGGGCGTTGGTGGCCCACGCCTTTAATCCCAGCACTCAGGAGGCAGAGGCAGGCGGATCTCTGTGAGTTCGAGGCCAGCCTGGTCTACAGAGTGAGTTCCAGGCCAGCCTCCAAAAGTCACAGAGAAACCTTGTCTCGAAAAAACAAAACAAAACAACAACAACAAAAAAGATGGCTCAGCAGGTAAAGGCAGTTGCCACCAAGCCTGGCTTCAATCCTAGGACCCCCTCGTGGTGGAAGAAGAGGACTGACTCCCTTTCCATTCAATGAATACCCCTCCTTACTGAGAAGGGGTAGGGAGGCTGGCCCCCAGCTTTGGACCCAGCTCTACCCTCTGCACCCACAGAGAGCTCATTGTTTTCATCCCTCCTTGCTTCATTTAGCCAGGGCCCTGGGTGCTCCGAGCAAGGTGAGGTCGGTGCCCTTAGTAGAGGTGGACTCACTTCTCCTTACTCTCCCTAGCCTCATGGGCCTGGGTCCCTTAGGGGAGAGCTAGAGCCATGCACATGATACCAAGGGTACCTGGGAAGAGCTATCGTGGTGCCCGGGTCTGGCTGCCTTAAATCTGTGGAGTGTTTTGAAGAGGATGCAGTGGAGAGAAGATGACATTTGGAACGGCATGGGAGAAGGGAGAAAGTTCCAGGAGGCAGAGGAGGAGGGAAGGAGCAGGCTAACACCTAGAGGCCAAGCCTGCTTTATCTTCAGCATGGGGCTTGACCTTGGGGGATTGATGTATCCTTCTCTCCAGTTCCTGCATCCATCATCCCGCACTTAAGAGATGTTGGAAGGATGGGTATCAGGACAGTGTGGAGACACCCACCCTTCTGCCCCACAGGTGGTCTCTTGAAGGTGATCCCAGCCACTTTGTCCCCACTCAGAGCCCCACCCTAATAGAAGCTTAGGGAACAAAGGCTTTCAGGAAAGCGTGTCCACGAAGCCCCTGGCCTGAAGCTTTTAAGTGTGTGTCCCCTCCTGGTGGCAGGTGGTCCTGTGCCTTTCTGCTGCTCTGTTCCTTGTTTTTTTGCGGGTCCCCCTCCTTGGCTAAGCCTCCCTCTGTGGGCAGCCCTGGACAGGGCTTGGATGGTGACTGGGAAACAGGTGTTGAAATCTCAGCCAGCCACTCAATTGACAAGATTTTGGTGAAGCTGGGTGCTGGGGAAGACGTGCCACCCGTCTGTCCTTTAATAATTCAGGCAGCTCGTGGCTGAAGGGCAGAGATTTTCTGCATTGTCAGCACGTTAGCCAGCTGTGCCAGCCTTTCCCGCTGCCACCGCTGGGAGGGGCAGCTCTTCGGGGGCAGTGGGCTCAGTCTGTGCCACCAGCTGCTGCCCACATTCAGGGTCTGTCCTTCATCTCCCGGGGGACAGGGGACCAGCTGCACACCTACCCCAGCTTTAGAAATAGAAGACCTATGAAGTCATTTGTGCAAACCCATCCTTGGGATGCAGCCTGGGAAATGCGACAGAAGAGGGGGGTGCAGGGCGTGGGGGTGAGGAAGGGGAGCAGGGAGACAGAGGCACTGATACCGTGGACACACAGAGCGCCACCTGCAGGCTGGCGTCACCGGGAGCTGTGTGCCTCGCATAGACTGGCTGAGTCTGCAGGGTCTAGGCTGAGTGAGGTTTGGGTCCCAGCTCCCTATTAGCAGCTGTGTGATTTTAGAAAAGTGACTTCGTCTCTCTGGACCCCAGCCCCCTCCCCTGTGAAGTAGTTTTGGATAAAAACTCAAGAGGATCAGTAGTTCATGTGAGAGCTGAAAGTGTGTAGGAGGAAATGAATCCTGTGTGTGAGACCCAGACAACATCTGCCCGTATGGTAGCTGCTGTTCCTGTCTGGAGATCCAAAGGCATGCATGGTTGATGAGGGTTAAGCCTGACTTCTGGCTAGCTGAGTAATGGCAGCTGCATTCCAGGGGTGTATGGGGGACCAGTGGTGTGCCTTCTCTCTCCTTCAAGCTTTGCTTGGTTGCTCCTGTTGTTGGCTTGAGAGGACCTGACCCCAGAAACTGGACAACAGCCAGTACCACACACTTACTCTCCCTTGAGCCTTCTCTGCCCTCCCCCATCAGAGCAATGTGGCCAGGAGTGATGATTCAGCCCGGACCTGTGTCCTGAGCCTTCACCTCCCTCGAGGGAAGCCCCAGATGCCCTGGGCAGCTGGCAGTGGTGAGGGTAGCCTGGCACCCCTGCCCTTGTCGATAACCCCACCCTCTTCAATGAGAGGTGACGTGCTCTGAATTCAGCCTCATCCATGACATACTGTGTAACCTTGAACATATGCAGCCTAGGTCTCAGTTTCTCTCTGTGGGGGGCATCTAGGGAAATAGTCCCATTTGTGTGAGGCCCTGAGATCCATTCTGTGTCCTCTGTGCTTGGTAGCTCCAGATTTGAGCTCAGGGCAGATACAGGCCCTGCCATGCCATGGATTAAGGCGAAAGTGGACCCATGTCTCCAGGGAGCCTGGCAAGGCCGGCTCGTGTGGATAGAGGAGGAATTTTCCTCAGTGTGTGCAAACAGTATCCATTTTCTCTTGTTTCCAAAAGCTGGTGATGTAACCAGCCCTTCATCCAGTCCTCCCCTCTGGCCTATTTTTAGACTGGCCCCACAGCTTCTTCAGAGTCTCAGACCTCCTTGCTCAGCGACCATGTAGGGAGGGTAGCATGAACAAGGACAGAAGCCTGTCTGTTTGTCCCAAGGTGGAGGAGGGTAGGCACAGGCTGCCGGTTCCTCCGGGCAGGGAGGGGAATCTTAGTGAGGCACTCAGTCTGGCTGCCCCTGGCCTTACCACACATTGGGAAGGGTCTCTCAGCCATGCTTTGTTTATCTGCGGTGACATGGGGATGATGGTGGCACCCATCCTACCCACTGCCAGAGGCCTGAGTTGCATCATGTAAACCTCTCTGGAGGGAAGCTGGTGCTGTTACCTTGTAGTGTGCCCCTGGATTTTCACAGCCCCCTGGAGCTGCCCCTCCCCATTGCATGGTTAATGTTGGGGTATACATTAACCTGTGTGCTTAGCCCCTGTTTCCTCTTCAGTTCCGACCAGCGGATGTGTAAATGAAACAGCAAAGTCCTCAGACTCTGGCATACAAAGAACACTGGGGCAGGGAGGGCTGGGCCTAGCCAAGGGTCAGGTGTGTGCCTTTGGGCAAAATATTTAACCACCGAGCTCAGTCTCCACTTCTGCAAGACTCTAAGACCTGCACAGGCAATTTCTGTGGCCTGTGAGCTGTGCTCCGCACAGCCCTGATAATAGTGGAAAGCTTGCTTCTTAGAGAAGAGTTCTAAAGTCCAGCTTGGGTAGTCTACCTTGCAGTGACAGCTGGACCAGCAGCACCTGTAGAATAGCCCTTCACAGTTTGCAGGGATAGGCAGTGTCTTTCCCCCCTGTGTCCCCATAGTACCATGCTTGTGCCTCAAAGGTGGCATTTGCCAACCCCGGGCCTTATGGTTAGCAGCAGTCCACTCCTCCCTAGGCTAGGAGTTCCTGGAGGGCAGGCGGGTTTCCCTAGGCCTCTTTCCTGCCCTTCGTGGACAATAAGGGTGGGGACTGGCAGGAGGAGGTCCTCTGACCATTTGTTGTTCTTGCTATTGCAGGTGGGAGGAAGAGCTGGCCAAGCGCATGAACCTTCAGACCATGGTGGACACACTGCAGGAGGTAAGAGTCCCCAGAGTCCCCAGCCAGTGAGGCTTGCAAGTTAGCTGTGGGCCGTGATGGGGAAAGTTGGGCAGAGAGTCCTACCATAGCCCCTGCCCTACTACCTCAGCCATTTTGTTTACACGACAGAAGAGCTCAAGCATAGGACTTGGGAAGTCTGGGTCTTACTGAGTGTCTGGGGCCAGCGCTTCCCTATCCTGCCTCTCAACCTCTAAGTGCCACTTGGGCTAGGTGGTCTGCAGGTCCCTTTGACCTTCCAACTGCAAGTCCCTCAAATTAGAACTGATGCCTTGGAGAGACCTGGGGACACATCACCTGGTAGCCCCAGCCCAGGCAGGCTCTGGGGCAGACCTGAGGACATTCGCCTTGTTGCTCTCTCTGGCTATTCTGCATTTGGGGCTGCGACACTCACATACTTACCAGGAACCCTGAGCAGCACACTTTATCTTTAGCCTGTTTCCCCTTCTCTGTCTGCCACATGTGTCAAGACCAGCAGCACCGTGAGAAGGCAGAGCAGAGTTAATTTAATGTTTGTTTGTTTTTTTTAACAGCTGGGTGTGGTGACTCACACTTATAATTACTTGGGAGGGGGAGGCAGGAGGATGAGGAATTTAAAGCCAGCCTGGGCTGCATAGTGAGTTCCAGGCAGCTTGGGTTTCATGATACCCTGATTCAACAAAAGCAAGTTGGGCTGGAGGTGTGTCTCAGTGGCTGAGTTCTTTACCTGTCTTATGCATAGCTCCAAATTTGATCTCTAGTACTGAGAAAAATATTAAAAAGTATAACAAATTGTTTCTAGAATTAGTTAAAATTCAAATCACTTTTTGACATTTAAAGTATTTGTTTTCCAAGAAATTGAGAGCCACATCTCAGTTGGTAGGATGTTTGCTTTGCACACACAAAGTCCTGGGTTCCCAGTGCAAACCGTGTGTGGTGCACACCTGCAATCCCAGCATTTGAGACGTGAAACTGGGAGGGTCTGTTCAAGGTTGAACTGGGCATGTTGTCAGACGCCTTTAATGCCAGCACTTGGGAGGCAGAGGCAGGTGGATCGCTGGGGTTAAAGCCAACCTGGTCTACAGAACAAGTTTCAAGACAGCTAGGGCTGTTACACAGAGAAACTCTTTCTTGAAAAACAAATGAACAACAACAAAAGAAGTTTAAGGTCATATCCTCAGCTACAGAGAGAGTTTGGTCTCAAAAAAAAAAAAAAGGAAAGAGACAAATGTCCTCTTTTTCTTTATAATAAAGTTTTTTTTTTCAGCATATTCACAGCCCGATGTTGGAAAAGTCCATAAAATCACAAAGGATCAAAATTATCTGCAGTTCTTCCTTCTGGTTTATCAGTTTTTTTGTGTGACCTCCCAGCCTTTTCTGCACCAACGTGCCCACATCCCAATCGGCAACCCTCAAGTGCCTGTCTTAGAACAAAGGCTTGAAGTTGTCATTTTTCAATGCCACAGCTGGTCAGACATTGGCACCTGGTGGGTTGGGGGTTGACCTTGTATTTTTAAGTGCTGGGGAGCCTGCTGGTATTAACCTACCTTAGCTCCCGATAGCTGCCTTTCTTCACCATAAATGACCCCCAGGAAGCATTGGGAGCAGTCAGCACCGCTCGGCAGCCAGGCTGGGCTGAAGGTCATAGCTTATGTAGACACTGGGTGTCCAGGGCTCTGGACCCAGGTGTCCATCCTCTCCGCCCCTTTAAGCCTGCCTGTCTCCATCCGTCCACAGGCAGCTCAAGAAGCCGAGGCTATCCAGGAGGAGATGAACGAGAAGATTGAACGGCTCAAGGCCGAGCTGGTGGTGTTCAAAGGGCTCATGAGTGACGTAAGTGGTGTGGCCGTCACCCTAGGTGTCATGACCTCCCTTTACCCATCATGCCAAACGCTTCATTCACTCCGAGGCTCGAGCTCGGCTTGTAGTTACAGTCGTGGCTGGCTGGTTTGCTCCGATGAGGGATGCATCGGGGGCCAGGCGCCTCCCCACCCTCCCCATATCGCTTCCCTGTGTCTGAATAGAGGTGCTTTAACTGCTGCTTAACCCATCGCCCTCCTTCTCCTCGGGCCCCTGACATCTGTATGTGTCCTCGCCATGTGATGGCCTCGGTGTCTACAGAGCACAGGCGACCCAATGGGCTTGGCTGTGCCAACCCGAGAGACTTCAGGCTCAGGGAGCACACCCTCCTGTAGGGTGTCCTTGTTAAGTTGGGAATGGCTGGTGTGTGCATCTCCTTGGCCGTCTGAGTGACCAACCACGGGTGGAAACAGCCGTTAACTCTGTCGGCCTCTTTGACTCTTGGGCCTGGGTTTCTTGCCGTCTGTAGGAGTGGGTAGTCTGCTAGTAGAGCCCACCTGAAGGAAGGGGAGCCTGGATTTGGTGACTCAGTCTGGCTCAGCTCCTGACTTTCAGGGACATGCAGTTAAGTGTGGTTAGAAGTTGTGGAGCCCAGGTGGAGGCCACCTGTGTCTCTTCATTTGGGTGCAGAGGGAACCCTTGCTCTTTCTATGTGACGCTGCTGTCATCTGTGGCAGGAATCTAGAGAGTGTGAGAGCCACTGAGGCAGGCATGTTATGGGAGACAGTGGGGCACGAGGGTGGGAACAGAAGGGGAGTCTGTGCATTTGTGTGTGTGTGTGTGTGTGCACGGGCACGCGTGCTGGGAATTTAAACCAAAGGCCTTGTTAGGCAACGCGCTCGCTCACTGAATGACACCAGCCTTGGACGGGTTCCTTTCCACGGTCTTGGTGCTCTCCCTTGCCCTCCACTCCAACTAAGCCAGCATTGCCGTGCCCTGCAGCCCTGAGGGGAACCAGCACACACAGCCTCACATCTCCCCTCCTGAAGCCCCCATGACCCTCTCACCCTGAGCAGTGCTGACCAACCCTCCACCCTCAGGAAAGCCTCAACACCCAGCCCCGAGACTGACTCCAGGGCTTCCCCACCCTCGGGTTCTTCCTACTCCTCTGATGGCCCCCTCATGCTTGCTCCGTCCCTCGCTCACGTAACCCCTGCTGTCCTCCCTGCAGCCCATGACAGACCTGGACACAAAGATCCAAGAAAAGGCTATGAAGGTGGACATGGACATTTGCCGCCGAATCGATATCACGGCTAAGCTGTGCGACGTCGCACAGCAGCGGAACTCGGAAGACGTGTCCAAGATCTTCCAGGTGACCAGGGCTGGCCCCTCTTCACCAGTCCCCACCCCAACCTCTTAGAGCAAGCCCCGACCTCCACCACACCCTGTCGCCGCCTCTTTCCCTCCACATTCCGTTCACCCCCTGCCCACCCTGAGGTAGTTGGTCACCTGACCCTCTGACCTCCCCTAGGGAGACACAAACTTGGGGATTTGTAGTTTACAGCTAAGGAGACTGGGGCCTTGGGGGACAACAGGGTGTACCAAGAAAGGACATGGTGGAGCCGGGTTGGAACCCAGATCTTCTGGCTCTCCAGGCTGTGTCCCCCTGTGCCCACCATTTCTCATGAAGCCTCTTTCTCTGAGACTCTGAATTGTTTCCACGGTGGGGGAACCTGGCCAGGTGATGGGGAGTCCTGGCAACTGGCCCTCAGGATCCCCCCAAAAGTTATTGGCGTTTGCCTAATTCTCATTCTCTCATGCGCCCCTCCTCCCCTGGTTTCCCATGCAAGAGAGAAGGCGGTTGGTTGGCACCAATGGGCAGTTCTGGAGAGGGCCTAGTTGTGGTCCTGCTGGCACAGGGCACACGTCATTCTTAGGAGTTTGGGTCATAGTTTGGCTTGTGCTTAGCAGTGTGTTGTTGCTTTCTGTGTGTGACTCTGGATATAATTGGGGAGGTGGGAGCCTCCCCCCGTCCTTTCTCCATCTCATGCCTTTTTGCTGTTTCTGGGGGGACTGATCCCTGTGTGGAGCTGTGCAGCCCTCATTTGCTTGGGTCTCGTGTGCTTGGAGCAGAAGCTGGGTAAACCCTCTGTGTCTCTGCATGTGAGAGGAAGGTTCTGAAGGCATGTGCTATTTTGACCTTTGTCAGGGTTTCTTGGTTTCTCTGGCTGGCTTTGAGACATCCCAGGTGATGGTACCATGGTCTGGTGTACCATTGTACCAGATCATGGGGCTGCTTTTCTGGCGATGGGCGAGCCGAGCTGGCCCAATCGCTAGGCCTCCCCGGGCAGGACTTGGTCACTCTGTCTGTGTTGTCCACCCTGCATGCCTCATACCTCACGCGCTTCCTGCTAACGCTGCCTGCTTCTTAGAGGACCTATGCAGAGCTCCCTGCGGGGGTGGCTGGCCCCAGCCATACTCCATCTACTCCTTGGGACACCAGTTCCCTTCCAGGCTCACCCCCCACTCTCCACCCCAGCCAAGCACCCCAGTTACCTTGGTCTCTTCCTTCCCTATCCAGGTGGTCCCTAAGAAAAAAGATCGTAAGGTGGCTTCGGATGATGACATCTCCGAGCAGGATGGTGAGGTGAATCGGTTCTCAGATGAGGAGGTCGGATCCATGAACATCACAGATGAGATGAAGCGCATGTTTAACCAGCTGTGAGTACCGAGGTTGCCCAGCAAGGGGACATATATCAGTGGTTGGCCGAAAAGAGCCTCGGATGTGATGTGTTTGAGAAGAGTTTGGATTCTGTGTGTGTGGGTGTGTGTGTGTGTGTGTGTGTGTGTGTGTGTGTGTGTGTGTGTGTGTGCATGAAGATCAATCTTGGTGGCAGAGATCAATCTTGGGTGTCATTTCTCAGGCGCTACCCACCTTGTTTCTGGGAGGGAGGGTCTCTCATTGGCATGGGGCTCACTGGTTAGACTAAGTTGACTGGCCAGCGAGCCTCAGGAATCAGCTGTCTCCTCCTCCCTAGTACTGGGATGACAAATTCACAGCACCAGACCAGGCTAGCCCCAGACTTAGAGATCTGCCTGCCTCTGCTTCCTGAGTGCACTTTGGTAGCTTAGACGTTGTCATTGCAAGAAATCTATATATTCAGGACTCCCTTCCCAAGCCCTATAGAGAACTGTGCACCAGAGCCCATTGAATATATTGCCCTGGGGCTGGGGTGGCGCCATGGCCTTGGCATATTTGGTGCTTTGTTCTGAACCCCAGTCCATTTTTAAACTAATCCATTCAGTACCCTACAGTGGGATTGGGAGAAGGCACTGGGTGAGTCAGGCAGGGCCGGGAACCCCATGCTCTTGGGCACCTGGACTCTGAAAGCTCAGCTCTGCCACAGCTGGCGCCATCCAAAGACCAGGCCACCAGCTCTTTGACCTCCCTGTGAGGGAAGTACTTCAGGACCACACAACAGGCAGAGCCGAGCCCACTTACAGGGTTCAGTGCTCTGTTCCCTTAGCCTCTTCCGTCTTCTCTCTGCTCTGTCACTGTTCCCGGCTGGTCCCTCTTCGGTTTCGCTAGGTACTTAATAGAGCATGAGCAATGTGGAGTTGGGAGTTCCTCACCCTTCAGACAGAACCGAGATGGCCCTGGACTTTTGCTTTTGATAATGCCAAGGACAAGGATACCCCCTGACTCTTGGTTCATCTTTCAACTTGAGTCTCCCTTGAGATCTCACGCTCTCACCTTCTACTGACCAGAGGGTGTCCCCCAGGTCCCACCTTTTTTTTTTTTTTTTTTTTTTTTTTGAGATAGTGGCTCATGTAGGTAGCCCTGGCTAGCCTCAAGCTTGCTGTGTCTAGAATGATCTTGAACTTCTGCTCTTCCTGCCTCCACCCCTTGAATACTAGGACCAATGCCTGGTTTCGGCAGTGCTGGGGATCAAACCCAGGGCCCCGCATGCGTGACAGGCAAGCACTCTCAACTGAGCTGCAGCGCTAGGCTTTTAGAAAGAAATGTGGCTTGGGTCCCGGTTTTCCCAAGGTTGCTCTGGGAATTCCTGCGCCTAAGGCACTACTATTGGATGTTCAGACACTCAGATGGCCTTTATTTTGTTGACTAAAAGAGCTCAGAAGAAATCTGAAGTATTTCATGAAGTCGCTAGGGAATCGTTAAGCTGATCAGAAATGAGGTGCACTGCAGGGGTACCCATCCAGAGAAGCTGAGTTGGGGCGCCTTTGGCGAGGGCTTCTTGTGTGTGGAAAATGCATTCAGCTGTGAGTAATGGAGTAGCCATCCCCCATGTAGTGGGCACTGGAGTGTTGACAGGGTTCAGTGTTTAATTAGATTTGTCTGACTTCTAGTTGCCTAAATTAAAAAAAAATCTTTCATCGCCCCTACACCTGGCTAGTTTTTCCTTACCCACCTGATATCCCTGTGAGCCCATGGCTCAGCCCCGTCCGTGGTCACTCCCACCCCCACTCCCAGCCACTTCTAGGGAGGCCTTTGAATGACACGCCCATGTCAGAACTCGGTTTTGTTTTCATCCAAATCAGTGGCTTGGGCTTCAGACCAAGGCTGAGAGAGGAATTTCAACCGCCTTCCAAAGTCCCAGGGAGGGGCGGGGGCTCTTTCCGTCTCTGCTGCCATCCATCTTCCTGTCCGCTCTGGCTAACCATCCTTCAGCGGGGCTTCCCTTCAGATCTCAGACGCTGGAAAGGAAGTGAAGTCAGTAGTGGACTATGTGATGTGCTCAGAATCGCCTCCTTCTCCGATATCCATCCCAAGTTTATTTCCTGACTCATGGGCGCCATCTACACGCTTCTACAAGAATTACTGTTGGGCAAGGAAACCAGCCTGGTTTAGCCCTAGGGGGCGCTGTAGGGAGCTTTATTATTATTATTATTATTATTATTATTATTATTATTATTATTATTATTATTATCAGAACTCCATCTGTGTCGCTGCCAGTTGGTCTCTAGCTAAAAACTTTGTTGAATGATGTAGAGCTCAACATGGAGTGTGGGGGCGGGAGTGGCTATTCTTCTTTTGACTAGAAACATGTCTAAAAGTGTGGGGTTGGGTGGGTGGGGGTTCTGAGGAGATTTTTTTTTCCCGAGACAGGGTTTCTCTGTGTAGCTTTAGAGTCAGTTCTGGAACTCACTCTGTAGACCAGGCTGGCCTCACACTTACAGAGATCTGCCTGCCTCTCCCTTCTGAGTGCTGGGATTAAAGGCGTGCGCCACCAACGCCTAGCTCTGAGGAGGTTTTTAAACAAGACTTATTGTATTTATGTGTGTGAGTGTTTTTGCCTGCGCACCATGCTCATGTAGCACCTGTGGAGTCCAGAAGAGGGTGTCGGGGCCCCAGAACCAGTGTTAACAGACAGTTTTATACCACCATGTGGGTATTGGGAACTGATTTCTAGTCCTTTGTAAGAGCAGTAAGTGTTCTTCACTGCCGAGCCTGGGGGTGGGGGGTGGGGGATGGGGTAGATCTTTGATTCAGCTCAAGCTGATTGGAACTCACTATATAGCCCAGGCCAGCCTTGAATTTGATCCTCAAATATCATCCTCCTGAATTCTGGGATTATAACATGCACCACACTACGTTTGACCTAAAACCAGACTTTTAATTGTAGAGAAACATTTGCATTTTGGATAAGACAATTGGCTTTGGCTACCACCCTGTCTTTGTTGAGAGCCGCCTCATGGGTGGTATGTGCCCCAGGAGCCTGGCTTCTGTTAAGTCATGCCCTCTGATGTCACCCACAGGCGGGAGACCTTTGATTTTGATGACGACTGTGACAGCCTGACCTGGGAAGAGAATGAAGACACTTTGCTGCTGTGGGAGGATTTTACCAACTGTAACCCGACCATTGACCTGCAGGGCGAGGTGAGCCCAAGACCTGTCTTCTCTGCGGCGGAGGGGGGAGGGGTGCCTCTTTCTCATGATCCCTCACTTTTGCCCTTTTCATGCAGCCTGTGCTCCCCAGATAAACTGTTCCCTCTATCTCCCCAGCAAGAAGAAAACTTGGGCAATTTGATCCATGAGACTGAATCCTTCTTCAAGACGAGAGACAAGGAGTACCAGGAGACGATAGGCCAGATCGAGGTAAGAGCTTGGGCCGTGGGGCCTGCTACTGAGTCTGCCTGGGCTGTATAGTTGAGATCCTGGGTGATCAAGTGCCCATGGAGATGCAGGCTTACAAAATGGAACAAGCAAGGGGGTCAGGAGCCTGGAATTGCAAACCTGTGCTTATTAGGGTGTTGGTTTCCTAAGTTGGGCAGTGATTCTTGCCACTCCTAAAGACGCCGAGGCAGGACACTGTCAATGACAGGCATACCTAACAGCATCATTGGGCATCACTCCTAGGTAAACTCTGGTTATTCTGGGTTGTCCTTACCGCCTCCTCAGCTGTAGGAACTGGGTACCCATACAGAGAAGGAAATGATGTCCAAAGAGGCCAAGTCCCTTGCCCACTGTTTCCAACTCTGGAAGCAGTATTGAGGTCAGTGTGCTTAGCCACTGCTGTACAAGAGTTAGTGCTCTTCCTATGTTAGAGAAGGACAAGTCCAGACTTCTCCCTCCTTCCTGGAGGAGTAGGGGTCACAGTACAGGAGAAGGCTCAGAGATATGAAGAGTTTTCCTCTTCTTGCCCATAGCCAGTTCCCCAGAGATGCTGAGTACAGGAAAGTCCCCTGAATCAGATGGGGCTTAGCCAGACAGAGCTCCTCTGGGGTTGCTAAGCAACCATTCTCCTTTTGACAAGAAGCATGTCTAAAGAATATTGACTGGTGTGCAGAGAATAAGGAAGGTTGACACCCACAAGGCAGAGACTTGAGAGCCCAGTGTCTAGGGATGGCCTGGATGGTGCCAGGGATGGCCTGGGTAGAGGAGAGTGGTTGCTGCTGCTGGTAACTCGAGGTTAAAAGGTCCTCTCAGCACCTTTATTCCGCATTGACTCCCTCCAGCTGGAGCTGGCCACAGCCAAGAGTGACATGAACCGACATCTGCATGAGTATATGGAGATGTGCAGCATGAAGCGAGGCCTGGATGTGCAGATGGAGACCTGCCGCCGGCTCATCAAAGGCTCCGCAGACAGGTGCGGCCCCTGCTCCCCTAGGCTTCGGTGGTGGGGGCCTTAGAGAGACGTTCCGGGGCTGCAGCATGCCCCTTCACAACATTTTCATTTTCCCGACCATCCATGTGTCCATCTGTGCATGTCTCCCTCCCTCCCTCCCTCCCTCCCTCTCTCCATCTATCCATGCATCCATCCCTCCCTCCATCCATCCATCCATCCATCCATCCATCCATCCATCCATCCATCAAAGCCCTCAGTATAAGCATACCTACTCCGTACCAGGTGATTTATGTACCTAATCTCACAGAACTTCTGTTTACAGCAACATTGACTCAAAGGCACATTGTGTACAAGACCATCTGAGTTTGCTTTCTATCGCTGTGATGGAACACCATGCGCAAAAGCAAGTTGGGGAGGGAAGGGTTTATTTAGCTTACACTTCCACATCACGGTCCACTGCTGAGGAAGTCAGGGCAGGAACCTGAGATCAGGGACCGAAGGAGGGCATGGAGCAGTGCTGTTCCCTGGCTTGCTTTCCATGGCTTGCTCAGCCCGCTTTGTATACCGCCCACCTGCCCAGGGCTGGCGTCACCCCTAGTGGGTTAAGAAACGTCAGAGCTTCTGTCCTTGGAGAGTATACCCCGCCCCTTGTTATGCACAGAGGTGGGGGTGCGGGAGGTGGGCAGGGCACACACTGTTGCTGATTGGGTTCCTATTGCGTCCTTCCTCCTTTCTCATCTTTCCACCCCGCCCACGTGGGTCTGTGCATCAGATGTGGTTGCAGACCCCTTCAGGATATGCAACCTTGTTGGGGGACAGACACTTAGATAATAGGATGGGAATGCTTGGCTTAAAGCTCAGCTTCCTTTTCTTGTGCCAATTGTCACTGTATAGGAGGGAGCAGTGGCTGTGTGGGAAGCGTAGTGGGTAGCAGAGGTTGACTTCACCTGTCCAGCCTTTAGCTCATGGAATCCCCTAGAGCCCACTATGGTCATAGGCAAGTGGAACTGCTTACCAGAGACCCCTCAGGCAAACTGAAACCCGGGCCTGTTTCCTCCAGCCTGTGTAGTCCCTGATGTGTTCTCAGTTACCTGGGGTTTACTGGGTACCACTTTGTGCTCAGACCAGGAATGATGGATGATTACAGCGTGAAAAACCAAGCTGGATCCATGACCCCCGCTCCCAAGGGGAAGCCACACAGTAGACTAAGCAGTGGCTGAGGCAGGGGGAGGGTGTCCCAAGGAGTCACAAGAGCCATAGGCAGCTCATGGAACCTAGAGGAGCTAAAGGAAGGAAAGTGTACCCTAGGCAGGGATCACGGAAGGAGCCCCTCAGGGTAGATCGTTTGGTTCTTTTTATGTTATTGCTGGGGGTGGAACCTAGGATTCCACACTAGACAGATGTTCTGCTTACCCCAGCCCCTTGGGGTACCTTTTTACAGATGCGACTGCAGAGTTGCTGGCCCTGGCATGTCAGGGGACCCAGGCTGCTCGCTGAAGTCTCCTCTTCCTTCCATGCTTTTCAGGAATTCACCGTCCCCCAGCTCTGTGGCCAGCAGCGACTCAGGAAGTACAGATGAGATCCAGGATGACCTGGAACGAGAGGCAGATGTGGAGCCCATGGTCAGCTGATAATGGAGGCCCCGTGCGACTGGTGGTCTTGGTGATGGGGTCCAGACTCTTCTCCTCACCGAGCCAAGAGGGCTCCTCGCCACACAGACTTCTGTCCTCCCTTCTCCGGAGGCCCAGAGGGACCGCTGCTTCCTTCCTTCCTCCACCCCCCACCCCACCCCCACGGAATGGTGCTGTCGATTTTCTATCGTTCTCCACATCACAAACGCAGACTTCTGTGCAACGATGCAGTGCAACTGTGCCTTCTCCCTTAAGCTGAGCCACTTTGAGCTCCAAAGAATTCTTCCTAGCAGGTGTTTTTATACAAAACTCTACGGTGAGGGCGGGGCCTGGGCTGTGGTGTCTTTTGGTTTTCTCCCTCTCACCTGCTCCCCTGATTGGCTATGAGCTTTGCCCTCCCTCCCTCCCTCTCTCCCTCTGTGTGAGGTCAGTGGCCACTTGGGGAAATCTGCCTTCCAGAGGAAAGAGGCTGTTAATCTCCAGACCTGGGTGAGCTCTCCCTAATGTTTCTCACCCACTGAAAGACAGGTGGATGGAGTGGTGGGAGGGAGGGAAGACCCTTTTTTTTTTAGATCAGGTGGCAATGTGTTGAGGCAAGGCACTGTGGGGGAAGGTAGAGCCTCACTGTTTAAACTATGCAAAAACAAAAACAAAAAACAAAAAGCAGCTTGCCTTATATCAGTGGGGAAGGCAGGTCCTCTCTCAGACTCCTGGAAACTGGGAGGGAGGCCAAGTTTAGCCTGAGACCCTTGTAGCCTGTGAAGGTGAGCAGTGGATTTGGAGGTGGCCCCATTCAGATCCCAGTGAGGCCTGCGTTCTGTAAGCTGGCCCACTGGACTGTTGGCTTTCTTGGGGACCTCTGTGGGGTGGGGTGGGGTGGGTGGGGTGGTGGTCTTTTATTGTCCTGATGACTTGATGTTCTTTCCTGCCTCTCCAGCCACCTGCCAGGTTCCACAGTTGTAATTTCTCTGTGAGAAAGTATGAACAGGCCAGGCCACTGGTACCCACTCCGGCTGCCATGGTGCCATCTTGGTCCTCCATTGTCCCTCTGGCTAGAAAAAAAGCCTGGTGAGGGAAGAGGAGGGAGGTGGTAAGGCTCCTGGCAGGCTGGTGGTAGCAGGTGCAGAAGCCCCAAGTGAGGACCGTCCTTATTCTAGGCTTTTCCAGACCCACTTGGTTAGACTCTTGAGGAGTCACTCTGAGCCAGTGTTTCCCCAAGACGCCAATGGGCCTGAGTTAAGGGGCCATAAAATAGACCATCCATCTAGTCTCAGCTAGGATCTCACCTAGCAATCAGGTTTTATTTTTATTTTATTTGTTCTTATTTTTGTGTCCACTCTAGAGGTTTTGATGGCCTATGTTGTTTTTGTTGACCCAGAAGCTCCCTCTGGAGGGCAAAGGAACAAAATGTACCCAGGGACCAGAACCCATGGGCCCTCTGAGGCCTGTGTGTTAAAGGGTGGGGGACTCTGGGCTGGAGCCGTGGTGGTACCCTGATTCTCTCCTGAATCCTTGTATCTCTCTCTGAGTGGCCCCATCTGTTTTTGCATGTAGAACCGGTGTGTATAATAGGCGAATGTATGTGTAGAGAAGAGAGAGAATGTATTTTTGGCTATTTCTTTATATAATTTATCATAATTTGGTGACTTTTCTCATGTGTGTTTTCCATGATGGGGTGGGGCACATCCCACTGGTTGCCGTGTAGCCTGGCTGCAAAGGTTCGCTCATCATCTCTTAGTGACCAGCCAGTCCCTACTGGCAGGCACTTGGAGGGACAGTGGTTTGGAAGTGACACAGCCCCTTCCCTCACCCCCTTTCCCACCAGCCATTCTTTAAGGGTTACAGGGTTCATTCGCTTCTGGTTATTATTATTGTGTTACTGATATTATGTTTTGTTTTTATTTTAACCAAAGGGTATCAGAGCCAGATGGGCCTGGACCTTAGCTGCTGTAAAAAATTTCCGTTTCCATGAGGGCAGGAAGGTGGCTGCCCCCATGGGTCTCCTCGGCTGAGGCCGAGGAAGGTGTCCATCCAATGGTGGAGGCTACGATTCGGGCAGGCAGAGTAGAAGCTGCCCTGGCTGTTCTTCAAGGTGGTGGTGTGGTGACACATATCTCTAGAGTTAAGACAGTAAGCTACAGTGTAAACATTCGGGGTGACGATGGTTACCCTGGAAGGTGGTGTTATTTTTTGCTTTCCCAACTGTATACATAGGTCATTTGTCTAGGCGTATGAGAAGGGCAGGCTCCAGCATATTCCTCCCTGCTGACTTTCAGGGTCTGCCTTCCCCTGGGGAGTGAGGCTCTGAGGCAGGAGGATGATGGGAGAGGAACAAGGGAGTGGCGGGCATGCCTCCTGGGCTGGTTCTGGGGTCTGGGCCTGGCCTCCTCTCTCTCTTTTTTTTTCAGTTTGTTGCCAGTGCTTGTCCCTCACTGTGAACCCACAGCTTGCCAAGAGAGACCCCACCGCTCACTGGGGCAGTGCCTGCCCAGTCTGGACGAACTTGTCCGTCCTTGTAAACATGTACATACTTCCCTTTGAGTTTTCTATGTCTGAGCCTGGTGTCATATTGACACTGGTGTCTCAGGGCTTCTCAGTGGACTCTCCGTGTGGCCCTTGGTCATGCTCCTAGTTTGGGGACCACATACACAGGCATAGCAGGGAGTCAGCAGCATCCTTTCAGGTCCCTGGTTGGTCGTGTGATACACACACACACACACACACACACACACGCGCGCGCGCGCGCGCGCTCATGCACACACTCACGCACACTCCTCTAAGACTCCAAAGGAGAATGACTGGGAAGCAGTCTGTCTCCCTGTGGCAGTGTGTCTGGAAGGTCTGTCCACTTTGGACTCTGCTCTGGGGGTGGAGCTCAGATGACCTATGGAGAATCAAACCACTTTGATTTGGGGCGGGAGAGGGGGCGGGCTGAGGGATAACTTAAGCTAAAGGTATTCTATTTATAAAGCAAGAGACTCTATTTTTATGAAAGGAAAGGGTTTTTTTTAATGTAGGGTAGGCAGTCGTGGTGGCCCAGCATTTTGCTGTGGATGAGACACCACCATGTTTGTTGACTTGGGGTGTGTAGCAATCAGTGCCCCTTCCCTCACCTTGCCTTCCGTCTCCGTCTTCACTGCACACAGCTGGGGCAGAAGTGGCTTCCTTCTTTCCTCAGCCCTCAGCTCCTCGGAAGTCTTGGAAGAGAGCTGGGGCGGGGGATGGGGGGAGCAGGCAAGTGGACTGCATGAAACCGAGGTGGGGGAGGGGAGGCTTCAGAGGTAGGTTCTAATTAGTTTGCCCAGCTCCCCTCTGTCCCCACTCAGTTGTGTGGAGGCAGAGTTGGGAAACACTGTGGGCTTGGGGACACAGGACTTCTTCCGGGCCTGGGCTTTACTGTGTCTGAAGTTGCCCTGCAGCTGGAGTAGGCACAGAAGGGACCCAGGATGCTCAGAGCTCAGCCGAGGCTGTGTGTACTCCAGGCCAAGGTTCAGCTTTGTTCCCCGGATGAAGTAGCAGGGCTCTGAGGATTGCCTCAGACCTGGGTCCTCCCTGTGGGACCCTAAACTTGGCTTTTGAAGGGTAACTACCTACAGGGAGGTGTGGGTAGGGATCTGAGCAAAGCCATTTGCTCTCTCTGGGAGGGGATTTTCCTTGAGTGAAGATTTCCAGGCTCAGAGTGGGCTTCACATAAGTCTTAGGCCAACCCCTCACTTTTCCCGCTCCCTCCCAAGCTCTCAAGGAACTGTGGTGAACTCCTCACAAAGCCCCCTTACGCACAGTGTAGCATCCACCTGGTTTTTAGTCCTACCTACCCCACGGTTGCTGTGTCTGTCAGTTGAGTCTAAAAATCACCGGGAGGGGTTTGTACTCAACGGAAAGACTACTGACCCTACCAGAAAACCAACCTGTTTACTGTACTGTTGTAAATACCGTGCCCTTTATATCCTGTATATTGGCTTCTTTTAAATAAAGTAAAAATGTCTTAGAATGATGGTGTGTGCTTCTTTTTGTCATGGTGATTGTGGGGTGTCAGAAGACTGAAGCAAACACATTAACCAATCAGGGATAAGATAGGGAGCTCACACACTGTTTGCAGAGGGAGATAAGGTAGGACTTGAGTGAAGAGTCCCAGAGAGATCCCAGGCTAATTGGCACTGTCAGGCCTGGAGCTGAGGTTCCAACAGCCGCAAAGCCCTCATTTCACAACCCCCCCCCCCCCCAGTGTCTACAAGCAGCACCTACTGGGCTCTGGATTTGATACGGTTCACTGTTCTAGTGACTTTAATGGCCACATTCAAAAGTGACGTCACTCCACTGTGAACTGTCTTTCCCAGGGATGAAGGGGAACGGCTACTTGCTCATATTTATGCCCTTTTCCTACTCAACATTCTTGGCTGAAACAACCTGTCTCAAATGGTGTGACAGGGAGTCAAAGGAGACGCCCAGGGGGACAGGGGTGTTCGAGGTGGCCATTGTCGTCCAGTTCTACAGAAGAAGAAACTGAGGCCCAGACGGGCTGTATTGGACAGTGCTTATGTCAACTTGATGCAAGCAAAAGGCATCTGAGAGGAGGGAACCAAAATAGAGAAAATTCCTCCAACATTTCAGGCTGTGGGCAAGCCTCTAGGGCATCTTCTTAATTGATGGGGAGGGCCCAGCCCATTGTGGGTGGTGCCACCCCTGGGCTGGTGGTCCTGGGTTCTATAAGAAAGCAGGCTGAGGGCTGGAGAGATGGCTCAGAGGTTAAGAGCACTGACTGCTCTTCCAGGGGTTCTGAGTTCAATTCCCAGCAACCACATGGTGGCTCACAACCATCTACAATTCAATCTGGTGCCCTCTCCTGGAATGGAGGCAGAATACTGTATATGTAATAAATAAATAAATCTTAAAAAAAAAAGAAAGAAAGCAGGCTGAGAGCCAGGCGTTGGTGGTGCATGCAGAGGCAGGAGGATCTCTGTGAGTTCGAGGACAGCCTGGTTTACAGAGCAAGTTCCAGGACAGCCTCCAAAACAATATAGAGAAACCCTATCTTGAAAAACCAAAAAAAAAAAAAAAAAAAAAAAAAAAAAGGAAAGAAAGAGAGAAAGCAGGCTGAGCAAGTCAGTAAGCCGCACCTTTCCATAATCTTTGCAACAGCGCCCTCCTCCAGGATTGTACCCTGACTACCTTCAATGATGAACCAAACAAACCATTTCCTCCCCAGCCTTCTTTTGGTCATGGTATCTCATCACAGCAATAGTAACCCTAACAAAGGCAGAGGCTAACTTGCCCAGTATGGTATCGAACTAGAATCGGATAGAAGTGACCTTACAGTAAATGCCCTGGTCACACTGCCAGAGACATAGAAATACATTATTAGAATAAAAAGAAACCCCATACTGGTATCTTGGGAATATAGTGGTTCTTAAAGGTAGGCTTCAGAAGCAAGGCTTCTTTTGGGGGGGGGGGGGAAGGGTTTGAGACAGGGTTTCTCTGTGTGGCTCTGGCTGTCCTGGAACTAGTTTTGTAGATCAGGTTGGCCTTGAACACAGAGATCCACCTGCCTTCCCCCTTCCCCCGCCCAGTGCTGGGACTAAAAGTGTGTGCCACCACCAGCCGGCTCCAAAGCTCCTTATGCAGAAAACTGATAAATTTTTCAGGTGGGGCAGAGGAGCACAGAGAAAAAACTTTTTTTGTGGTCAGAGGCTTTGCAAAAAAAAAAAAAAAAAAAAAAAGGAAGAGGAAGGAAGGAAAGAGAAAACAAATAAAAACAAAAACCGCTAAGCACAGGCCCGCTATGGTTTTATCTCACACTGATCCCAATCTGGAAGGAAGCAGGCCCTGGCAGCTGGCTTGGCCCTGCGCCAGGCTGGATGGCGGAGGGCAGATCAGGCTCTATTCAGGGTGTCAGTTCTCGGGGTGGGGGCGGGGAGCTGGCCTTATTGTGGACCCGCGGGCTCGAGCAGAGTAGTGGCACAGGTGGTCAGCCTTCCAGCAACCAAGGGTCTGGGACCCCTGCTGCACCTGTCACGGAAATCTGGTCCCCCCTGCCCCATCTACCACGGAGCACGCGCTTCGTGCGGGATCTATCATTGGCTCCTGCAACTCTCCTACCAGACCTAAGAAGTGTGCAACTTGCTGGTCCCGCTGGTTGGCTCGGAGGCTTCCACGTGTGACTGTGATTGGTCGGGGACGCTCACGCCCTCTCTTCTTGGATCATACCATAAAGAGAGGAGGAGAGGAGAAAAGAGTAACAATTTCAGGGCATTTCTGCCAGGTTCCCTTGCACCTCAGTCCACAGAGGCCGTTTTGATTGCTAAATAAGGCTGCTGCTTATTGACAGGAGGGAGTGCCCGCAGATGGACCCCGAGGCAGGTGGACCGGCTGATGCTCCTCCTCCCGCAGAGATGGTGTGCTCCTGGTTTGACTAGTCCAACCTTGCAGGGCCGACTTAGTTCTTCCCACAGCCGCACGGGAGCCTTAGACTTACCTAGCTGGATTCTCTTCCTGCCATCGCTGCGCCGAGCCATGCTTTCCCACGTGTGGAGGAGGGCAGGGTGAGTGACCTTGCTCCCGGAGCCCAGAGAGCAGCGGGCGACTCCCTCCCTGCTGGTGCTCCGGGCTGCAGCCACCCTCGCACGGGTCGTCATGGCTCGAGGGTCTCGTCCTGCAGAGCCACTATCCCATGGAGACCCGGCGTCCCCTTCCTAGGTCTCCCTGGATGGTCACTTTTCCTTAGCTAAGGATTTCCTCCCCCCTGCCCCGCCCCTGCTGGTCGTGTGTGGTGCCTGGACTGTGTCGCACGCCCCCTTTCTTCATCCCTCTTTCTCCTAATGCTGGATATTCCAAAGTCGTTGCTTTTCTCAGTCCCAGGACATCCCTGAGTTCACGTTCTGGAGCCTCCTGATACTGCCCGGGTCTTCTATCCCACTCCCTTTTAAGTTCAATATTGGGCTTTTGTTTTTCGGTGGGTGCCATAATGACTTTTATAACGCGTGATGCTGGGTTCTGAATGGCTTATGGCTTTTTTTGAGATTTTAATAAATTCATTAAGATAAATTCCTGCTGGGCGGTGCTGGTGCACACCTTTAGTTCCAGCACTGGGGAGACAGAGGTCAAGGCCAGCCTGGTCTACAAAGGCCAGCCTGGTCTACAGGACAACCAGGTCTACACAGAGAAACCCTGTTTTGGGGGTGGGCGTGGGGGTGTGTGTTTGGTTGGCACTTGAGGGTTCAAGGCAGGCCAGTTTGGTTTATGTAGCCAGGGCTGTCACCACTGGCACTTTTATTCAGACTTAGATACAGATTCAGTCATAGATACAGTCATTACAAGTAATGAAGAAACTGACAAGCTCCAAGGCAGAGCTGCTCTTCAAATCCAATTACACAACACTGTTTAGCTGGAACCTCGGCACCCTCAGTAACATGTTCTAAGATCCTGCCCCAGTGGGGCTCACAGTCTGTTTCTGTCTGCCTTTTAGAATTACACAGCACCCACACCCCTGCTTTAGTTACTATTTGCTGGCTCTGTGGCCTGTGACCCACCGTGTCTTCCTCTACTGAGTTGTGACCTTTCTGAGTTAATCAGTGACCCTTTCCTGCCCCCTGTGGGACAGCATGGGCGCGTTTCAGCTCTTCTGTGTGCCTTGGTGGGGAACTGGCAGGAAGAGGAGATGGGATGGAATGTATTCCTCTTTCAAACTGAGACTCCCGGTCCTTCAACCTCTTCTGCACTGAGGCCACAGGCACAGAGACCTTCTGATCGCTCGTAGAAAGCAGTCTGTGTTAGGAAATAGTTCCGAATTGCAGTATCATTTGGCAATCTAACAAGTGTGATGGACCCCATGCTGAGCCTAGGAGCTTGTTCTGTTCCTGCTTGCAACTGGGGACCTCTCTGCCTGTTGGGGCAGATGTAACTGGGGTTACAGTTGGTCTAGGTCCAGATGCCCGTTCTTCGGTGTGCCGCCTCCTGAGCTGGTGGGAAGAGGACTTTGCAACCAGTTCTCCAGGCTCCGGCTGCCTGCTTTTTGTAATGCGGCTGGCCTGGCAGGATGCCCAGGTATGTCTCTCAATGTCTGCAGCATTCTTCGTTCTTCTTTGGGGCAGGTCCTGCTCTGCCCTGCAGAAATGCTTAGACCTGTGTTCTAGTGCCAGTGGCTTCTTCAGTCGTGACAATCTTCAGGTGTCTTCTGGTTATCACCAGTTGAGAGGCATGATCATAGGACAGCTGTGGTTGTTTGGTCCTTCCCCCCTCTCCCTCCCCCTCCCCCTCCCCTCCCCCTCCCCCTCTCCCCTCCCCCTCCCTCCCTCCCCCTCCCCCTCCCTCCCCCTCTCCCCCCTCCCTTCCTCCCCCTCCCTTCCTCCCTTTCTTCTTTTTTTTTGGTTTTTCTGAGAGAGTGTTTCTCTGTGTAACAGCACTGGCTGTCCTGGACTTGCCATGTAGACCAAGCTGGCCTTGAACTCACAGAGATCTGTCAGCCTCTTCCTCCTGAGGGCTGGGATTAAAGGTGTGCACCACTACATCCGGCCTTCTCTTTTTCTAGTTTTTGTCATCTTGTGGTTTTTTTGTTTTGTTTTTGTTTGTTTGTTTTTGTTTTTTGTTTTTTTTTGAGACAGGGTTTCTCTGTATTGTTTTGGAGCTGTCCTGGAACTCAATCTGTAGACACTCTGTAGACCAGGCTGGCCTTGAACTCACAGAGACCCACCTGCCTCTGCCTCCTGAGTGCTGGGATTAAAGATGTGTGTCACCAATGTTCGGCTCATCTTGTGTTCTTTTTTTTTTTTTTTTTTTTTTTTTGGTTTTTCGAGACAGGGTTTCTCTGTGGCTTTGGAGGCTGTCCTGGAACTCGCTTGGTAGTCCAGGCTGTCTCGAACTCACAGAGATCCACCTGCCTCTGCCTCCCGAGTACTGGGATTAAAGGCGTGCGCCACCAACTCCTGGCTTCATCTTGTGTTCTTAATGGATTTGTGAACTCACATCTGATCCCTGGTTCTATTGCCAAGGTTATGTGAATGTAAATATTTTAAATCTGAAGAGATGTGAAATCCGAAAGACCGGTGATCCCAAGCGTTGTGGGTAAAAGCTGTCGTCCCTTGGCCTGGATGTCCCCAGGGCGGGGAGCTGTGACTGACATTGAGTAAATGAGTGAACTTGTCAGTGAGCCCCGTACTTGCTTGTAGACATTTTGTCATCAGATCACCGTGTGGCCTAGGAGGAGGGTTGGTGACAGTGGCTTTCATTTGTCTTTTTTTCCCTTTTATTTGAGATGGTCACTCACGTAGCCCAGGCTGGCCTTGAACTTGCTATGTATCAGAGGGCGACTTTGATCTTGTGATCCTTCAGAAAGCTTTCTCATCTCAGATGCTGGGCTCAAGTGTACACTATAACGATATTCGATGCTATATATGGAAAACAATATATTTATTTACCAGAGAGAGAGAGAAAGTGTGTGTGTCGCACAGACCAGGAGTTAGAAGCGTGGCTGGCTTCCAGGAGAAAAAGGGAGGTTCTTTCTTCTTTCACTTCCTTTTATATCTCCCAGTGTCAGTTTACATGTCTCCGCCCTCATGGGTGGATAGCTTTGTGGGGTTCACTCCTACAATTCCCCTTTTAGTCTAAGTAGAAGATTAAAATTTGATACAAACTCAAACATATACAACATATATACATAGAGGGTGATAATTAAGTTATAATCTACTTATCCTAAGCTAAACATATCCATTCCACCTAAATTCTAAACTTATCTGAAAAGGATGCCTAACTCTGAACACCTCCTTCCAATCCCAACCCTAAAACAATTGTAAATTAACAATGACAGCTGTAAACTATCCTCTAATATCAATAGTAGGGAGAAGGGACGTGAAATTCTCAAATTTACTTCCTGCTGAAGTGGGACGATGACAATCATGTGGACCCATGGGAAGAAATTGTTAGAGTAACAAGAGTCTTAAGTAGGTCAATTAGTCTCTGTTTTGTAGGAGAGGCTTGACTGAAGTTCTGGATTAGATTTCTGATTTTGATTGAAGCTCTTGTCTGAAGCTCTGCTCAGATTGTAGAAGATGCACTGTATCAGTTCCTTGGCCTGACGATGTGTCAAGTGATGTAGTTCAAAGCTGGTTTCAGGATGGTGCCTTTCAGGTGGGGTCGATGATGTGGGGCAGTTTAGATGTATCCAGTTGAATCAGGCAGAGTCGGGGGAAGTTAATCCACATTCTCTTTCTGAAGCAGTTGAAGATCGTTGTCAAGAAATCCCCTTTTCTCTGGAAAACTGATATATTAATGTTAGCACAGAAATTTTTAACTTTTATGTGTATGAATACTGGGAAAGGCAACCCTAAGGAAGATAATACACATGAAGGAGATTAGAGTTTTAGAAAAGAATCAAATATACACAGATGACAGTCCATATATATATATATTTTGTTGTTGTTGTTTCTGTCTTATATCAATGGCTCTTTGATATAATACAGAAAGTCTGAATTGCATTTTAACAATATGCTTGGGTTTAAAGCAGGAGAGCCAATCCAACTCCAAAGCCAGCATTAATTAGATGAATTGGGACTCAGGCATATTAAGAAGTGGAAGAAATAGAAATTACAATAACAAAATAGAGAGATGTAGACATTGATAACACATCACATTATTGCATGTTTGGTGGTCCTCTGAGTAGCTATCCTTTCTTCTTTAGGTATCCATATACCTAGGATTTTTCACTGTTCAGAACTAATTGTCCTGTAAAGACATAAATAGACTACTTCTCTTTCCTTTAATGAGGTGGCGTGTTCCCAACCTCACCCAGCACTCTGCCTCAGTGTCGTCATCTGCACAAGAGGGCTGATCCTGCTAACAGCCATGTCACAGGCAATGACAAGGGTCAGAGCGTGCAGGTGTGGTGCTGGACATGCCCTTTGCACATACTGTGGGGGACTGTAGGTGGGTTTTTTTTTTTTTTTATTTTGTCAGGACTGCCAGTCAGCTCTGTCCAGCCAGCCAGCTCCCAAATAACCACACAGAGACTTATTATTAATTGGAAATGCTCGGCTGATAGCTTAGGCTTGTTACTAACTAGGCTTTACAACTTAAATTAACCCGTATTTCTTATCTATGCTCTACAGAGTGGCAGTGCTTTTTTCAGCATGGCATGTTCATGCTTCCTCTGCATCTGGCTGGTGGCCCCCTTTTCTTCTTCCCAGCATTCTTTTTTTTTTTTGTCTGCATGTCCCACCTACCCTCTACCTGCCTAGCTATTGGCCACTTAGCCCTTTATTAAGCCTGTGAGGACAACAGATATTCACAGTGTACAAAAAAATAGTTCCACAGCAGAGGACTAGATGGAACCTGAGGTCCTTGTAATCCTTCTGACATGGTTCAGATTGGATGGCACTGGCACCCAAAAACACTGTGTGTCTGGCACTTAGTAGGTGTTGAGCTGTTGCTGTCAGAATGGCCCAGAACAGAGTTGTTGGGGGAAGTCCTGTGCATTTGTCAATAAAGTACTGTTGAGCCTATAGGGAACCAAGATAGGAGGGACTAGGAGTCCAGGAGAACTCTGGGAAGG